AAAACACGACGACAAAGCCAACTTACGACGAAACGAAGACTGGACGACGACACAAGAGCTTTAAGTCTTACGACTATACTAAATTACGACGAAACGAAATACGACGACACGAAGAGTGGAACTCGACGACGCGAAGAGCAATCCACGGGATCACGAAGTTCCGACGACACGAAATGTGATGATCGATTTTGTCCCCTTTCTGACGCCATACAAGCCTTTCCTTTTTAAATTATTTTAACTCTTACAACTAAAGCTACAACAAGAAGCACGAACACTGTATTTCTTTCAAAAATATAAATATCTATACATGTAGGTTAATTACCTTGAAAAAGTCGTAACATAATGACATCCATCCACTCTTCGTTGTCGAGTTCAAACCCCTCGCTTCAGTAACCACTCACAAATATTCTCCCGCCTTGACAGAATGTACGATATACAAGGTAACTGGGTTGAAATGATACGTTTCCTGGCCCCAGAGAAGCTAAAAAAAGACGCTGACATTTCTCGTAGCTCGTAAGATCTTTCCACGTGCAAGACCAATCTAAATTATGAATATCAATGTTTCAAAATGATTTAATTCAAATCAGTTCCCCGACCGAAGACCACGCATCGGTGAGCTCTTCGGTCACCTTCGTTAAATTTAAAAACGATGCAAGGTGACTAGCTGTAGCCGGCTGATCCTAATATCTGTAAAGTTAAATAGAGAGGGGCAGTCGTCGTTTTAATTGAAAAAATACTACCTCTAAATCAGATGAATTTGAACTTATAAGAAAGATTTCCTTGAAGAACAGTTTTCAATCATTTACCAACAGCTGACTTGAGCTGCCCGTAAAGTTGATGTTTTTCTTTTCCCGCGGCATGTCAAATTAGCAGTAACATCAACAATACATCAATCTACCACCATGTTGATGAAATACGTTGCAGCAAAAGAAAGACCGAGCTGCATTTTTGCAACTTACTATCAGATAAAGGCTCGTATATTTTGAAATGAGGAAATGTATCTACTTAGGATGACAATTATGATAACAGAAGAGATCAGTTAACAAAATTTAAGAAAATTCTAGGATTGGAGATAAGCTGGATTATTGACGTGAAAATTTGAACCGTTACGAGACTACAGTTAGGTAACCCCCCACCCTCCCCACCCCAGAGGCACCCGAACTCAGATCACATCCGCATTCAAGTCAAATGAACGATACTGGAAACTGTCGGTGAGAAAGAACTACAGGCCATAAGGGTTGGACTTGTCAAATCATATAATTTGTTATAATAGAAGGCGAGCTCTGATTGCACACTTGTACAAATGAGACTACAAAATATTGCACAGTGATAAGATAGCATACCATACCATAGTTCGCGGTAGAAAGTCCTTGAAAATGTTCCAGTTTTTTTGGTCCATCTCTAGTATAACGATCAATATCGATCAATATCAGTTTAATTTACATCATGTGGAAGAGAATATATATACTTCGTCGATCATTTTCTATTGTTGTGAGTAAACTCGGACCAGCTACATGGATGTATCGCCCCGACGACCGCGCACAACATTTTATTGACTTCGGTCAACTTGTCCTCTATTTGACCGATGCACACCGACTGCGAGGGGCTAAGGACAATCCATCCAGTCTCCATTGAAATCTGTCCCTACATGAAGAAAAGGTCCCGTGATGACTGTTGAACCTTTCTTACCCTTGCAGTGTCTCTGTAAAAGCGAAAAGACACTACTCGTTGAAATGCCTTGCTGCGATATTTAGGAATTTTTTCCATAAAGAATCACAAGTGGTACAACTATTAGCCACGGTAACTACATTTTTTTTAACTCAGTAACATAACTGCAAGTAGGTCTGTTCTTTCAGTGCCCCGAAAAGATTCTAGATTCGTGGCAAAAGAATACTGCAAACTGCTACGATACCCGAGTGGCAGTGCTTTTTACTTAAAATTATGGAGAACAGATACAATGTGTTATTGTTGGCAAGATATCTATCATACTTTATTATGCAAACCGTTCTCTGGAAACAAAACAAAACAAAAAAAATCAAAACAAAACGATTATGGCAAAAACAATGGATTACCTTTGGGAGTAAAACTGTTTTTTAGAAATACAGTAGTACAAAACTATATTGAAAACTTTCCAATTGTTTTCTAAACTGCAGCATTGACCCAATTGCAAGCCATAAAATAACATACAGAGTCGATCCTACATACTAATTGCAGTTTAGCTAGTACCCTTTAATATTTTCAAAAACCTGATTATAAACGTTTATAATGATCATAAACTGGTGCAAGTGTGTGGGGCACTAGGGATTTTTATCGCACATGTCAGATTTGAAAATATGAGCATCATCTGTATACCTTCTTCCTAGTCTCATTATTCTTCTTTATTATATGGCTATGTCTCACAAGGACTGGGAACTACCGAATTCACGAATTTGATTGGCTGAAATCAATATTGAGACTGGCATCTAGACCGGTCTAAGAAAAAAATGTACAAAGAATATAAAAAATTGGCATATACCACACAGCCATAAGGGAACTACCGAATTCATGAATTTGATTGGCTAAAATCAATATTGAGACCGGCATCTAGACCAGTCTAGGAAAAAAAGGTACAAAGAATATAAAAAATTGGCATATAAGACACAGCCATATAATAAACATCTTATTAACAGAGCTAGGTCGGTCTGTATGGGAGAATCTTCACCCAAGATTCTCCCATACAGACCTCCCGCTTGGTTAATAAGAACTAAGTAACATTAAGAAAAGGGGAGGAGAGGAGCTTACTAGGGGTGGGAATTGCCTGTTGTAATTTTTTGGTCTGATAGGGTAGAATAGAGAGCTTATAATTTCAGAGGAAGCACTAATTCTAGGATTAAAGGTTTGGGCATGTTATGCATACTATATCAATCAGTAAACATTACAACTTCCTGCTGATGTAAGTATGTAACACAAATTTTGCAATAACTAAGTGTTCACATATTCAGTCTATTTTTGTTCCTCAGGTTGTATTAATATTGACTACCTGCTGAATACATGGTCTTTCTCCAAAGATGGCAAACTGTCTGCTGTTATTTGGAAAGGGGAATGAAATCCTTACGGACAAGTGATAATTTAACAATTGATTGATGCTTTGATTTGTAACTAATATTTGTATTTCAATTCTCTTGAAGAGACAAAATAAGGGTAAAAATTGCATGTGAACACCTTGTTTGTTCTGAGGCCTCAAATGAAAATCATATAGGGTGAATCTGAAACCAACAACCTCCTTGCACATTCATTAAGATAACATAAATTATTCAAGAACTTCCAACTTAAGAATTCTCAGTAGCAATACTTTACGGTAGCTGGGTGAGGTAATTGGTAAATACATATGTACAGGTATGCTAGTGCATTTTGAAGAGAAGCCACTGAACAGTAGGTAGTTGAAATTAGCCTGCATATAAGCTAAATGTGCCACTCAATTTTCAATTCTTATGTCCTGTTCTCTCACTCTGAGTCCTCTCTCTCTTTGATTATAACTTGCTTAGTTTGTGATAAGCAAAACAGTAATGAGCAGTACCAATGTCCTGACAAAATAATATAGACAACAGCACTTTTTAATTCATTACCTACTCCTGTAATTGACTCAGTCCTGAGTGGCTAACTGTTTGCGATGGCCTGTGATCAATCTCAGGTTAATTTATAAAAATATGGAGCTTTTGATTATCAGTTTGGTACTATGCATTTATCTGTAGCAAATGATCACAAAATCACAAAATACAACCATTGCCTACCATCAGCCTGTGATAGATGGCCAAATTTAGCTAATTGAATTCTGAGCTTAGAAACACCCATTAAAACCCAACAATCAAAAATCCCTTTTCTAACAACTTTGCAAAACAACAAAAAAATTGAAAGCTCACAAGTCACATCTACAGTTACTCTCTCAAGTTTATCCTGACTTTTGTTTGCCTATAGATTGAGTTGATTGATACATTCAGTGAAACAGAAGATGCCTTTGAGTGAAATTTCATCACCAAGAAAATAAGTGATGTCAGTCAAATAACAAAAACAAAATTAAGGCATTAAATAGAAATGTAACCCTTCCTTGATATTTTTTTTGGTTCTCTCACTATTTGCAAAGAACTGTTAAGGAATTTTAAACATACATGTTTTGCATATCACCTAAGATGGGAACAACAAGTCAAATGACATGATCTTCAAAAAGATTTGCTACATATAAGTTTAAAAGGTAAGTTGTCTCCTAATTGATTTAACTCACCAATTACCTGTGATGGGGTTATCACAGATCTACTTTTTTTTTGTCTCATTGAAAACATTCAAAATATTTGGTAACTTGTGTCTTAGGAACTAGCTTCATTTGAAAGTGACTCTCTAACTGATTCGCCAACACTTTCGAGTAACCACAATTCTATTTGTTTAAGCTGTTTAAGCAAAGTCTTCTATTTTAAATTAAATGCATATCATGCACATGTAGGTCTTCAATCACCATCTTGACAGAGTATTGAACTTGCAACTATAAAAAATCCTCCAAGTCTTCTGCCAGGAAAGATGATACTAACAATAATACCCACTTTTATGATTAAAAGTTTATAAATCAAAATTATAATAACATTTAGTATAATTTCAGAGCTGAGCAAAGACTTTCCAGCAATCTGATTGGTCGAGCGGTTCCTTATATGACGCTATATAAACTGCTCCACTCGGTTTATATAAAATGTTAATTAAAAATAAAATGTTAAAATAAAATGTTAATAATTGTTAGTAAAATGTTATGATTTTAGAAATTTCTCTGTTGTTCAGCTCTGAAATTATACTAAAACAATTATTCGCCTCAGGTTCGGTGAGTATCGTCGAATAATCCCCGAGACTTCACCAAACCTGAGGCGAATAATTGTTAAATATAGATGTATGGGGTAATGCCAACTTAAATTTCATGAGTTCATTTCATCTGGGCACAGGATTACACTTTTTGGGTTCAGAAAACTGTTTTCCTCACATTTCTCAATTGAAATATATTTCAAGGTCACAAAGAGTGCGTTTCCACAGCACACATTGTATCTCTAATGCAGACGCCCATTTAAAATGGTTCTTTTAGTGTTTTATTTTTATTTGGCTTTTTTCCCAGCTAATATAACAATAATTTATGCATAGTTCAATGTATGGCAAGGTGACCTCTACAAACCACCAGGGTTATACTTGAGGCCACCTCATACATAACAATATGCTTACATACTAGATAGTGCTACAAGTGTGCCGCTTTTCCAATTTGGTGATTATTTACAAAGAATTCTAGCAGTTTTTTTTCTTATAGTTGGGAAAACTTGACAGAAAAGTGATAGTAACAGGAAGGGGATTACAGCTCTTTGAACCTTGGTAAAGAATTGTGAATTTATTCAGATTTGTTTGGCAATGATGCATGCAATGATTATTGACTGTTCTGGTAGCTGTAACCATGAATTTGACTGTTTGTAAAAAACAAGTTGAAAAACAATGGAGGCAATAGGTTGTTATGATAACAATACATACAAATTTAGCTATTTGAAATGTGTTGATATTTTAAATGTGTAAAATTCCTAATTTGGAGAAAAAAGGAGTAGATTATGTGCTCTACAGTCTGAATTGGTAATAGCTAGCACAGCCCATTATTGCAAACAATAAATTCTGCCAGTGAGTTACAATAGGTGACAATTAAGGATAAATTAGTGAGTGGTACAAAGTGAGTTTAGTTTTTGAAATAGATAGAAGCGGGACCTGAATAATCTTCCAATTGATTTAGAGATTTCTTTCCATAAATATAGGTGATATGATCTTTCCATGTAAAGTGCTTGTCAATATAATACCCAAGAAATTTAGTAGCATTGGTTTGTGTTAAGTTGGCCACCAAGAGAGATAGAAAACTTATAGTTACATTTCTTCTGCCAAGGTTTGAAAGTGACACAAGTTGTTTTCTTTACATTCAGCAATGATTTGTTAAATATCCATTAAAAGGCAATATGAGTAGTTTGAAATTAGTAAGCTGAATTTCACCCTGCAAGCTTGCATTTGGAAACTCTATGCCGAATTTGTAACACAAAATTTTAATTAACCTGTTGTAAACAAATGTAACAAATGTAAATGCCTTGGCTTGTCTTCTCAAGGTATCATGACTGGTAGCTTGTCACAGCAAAGCTGGGTGTAAAACGGCTGTTAATTACCATCAACCTAGATACATTTTCTGAAAGCCTTTCAAAAAGTTATAGAAAGAGCCAAAACTTTGAAATGTTTCATGTAAAAACACTGAAAGTAAATATTTACAACACATAAACTGATGATGGCATGAGTCATGCCAAAGCATGCCTTAAAAAGGTGTAGTGGTGGCATACAGCCTAAAAACAGTTTGTAGGTCAATAATTGTAACTGAATCAATAAATGTAACTTTCAATCATTAGATATGAGAATTCTTCAAAGCAATTCATCCATTACAAAAGCTTGAGGTAAGTTTTGAGTTCCACAAAAAAACTACCAATATGATCAGTAATTCTTTCAATTTAAGTCCACTGAACTAGGACATTTTTCTTGTTAATGACACAAAAGAAAATAAGAGGAATTCATTAAGTTAAATGCAGCATCAAACCTCTTGTGTCTACATATATTGCCTCATTTGAATTCAGATTTTGGTGGAGGAAGGACGAGATTTACACTAATAGGCAAATAACAGCAAACAAATGACTCCCACATACATTCAAATTGACTTTCAGTGACTTTCCCTGCCATTTAAAGCTTGAAAGAGATAAACCTTCCTAGGTTAATCATGGATGGAGGTGAAAAATACTTTCTGTAAGATCAGTGACTGTTTTTTCTAAAGAAAAAATCATGGTGATAGTAATTTAACTCGAGTTTGTTTGCCAAACCTGAATTGTTGTTCTTGCAAAACATATATGTGTTTTTTTTCCATAATTTTGTGAGCTCTTTAATTGACTAGTGTCAGATTCTGACCGAAACTTGTAAAAAAAATGTTTCATAGTTTGCTTGGAAGCCTTTTAAATCACCTTTATCATTATGAGTTGATCAATTGGTAGCTTCAATGTGCCCCTCTCACCCGCCATCCAAAGGCATCTGACAGTTATCAGTGCCAGTGAGTTTGAACTTTGCCTGGCTGAGGTGAAGAATTTGAACTTTGCCAGGGCCTGGCTGGGGTGGGGAATTTGAACCAGAAGTGTCAAGTCTTTCCAGGTGAATACAAGTATTATTTCTGTTATTGCTGCGTCAGTGGAGGAGTATGACAAAAAAAATTGGTTTTATCAACTGAGTTGATCACATAAATTGGCCATTTTAGAGAATTTTGAAACTTGTGTTTCGCGAGCATTAGTCCTTGGCCCTGAGTGTTGAAAATCCCATTTCCCAAGATCTTTCCTGGATAAGATCCTCCCCTCCCTTCCAACCCCTCCCTATGCCAAACAGCTTCTGTTCTTGTTCGAATCCCCTATTTACAAATCCTAGCTCCACCCCAGACATGACGCAGAAATACATTGGGTAAGATTTCCGTTAGCGTAATTGTACATGTATACAGTACTTGGTAGAACAGATAATAGAAAAACAACAGATTACCTTTAGGACCAAGAGTTTGCTTTAGATGGTATGGGGTTATACGGGAATATTTCCATATATTGAAAAAACATGCTCGTCGAGCAGTTTTTGAAGAGTTTATTCCTCACCTCTGGCAGTACGTTGATCTGAAGGTTGTACGAGCTCGAGGTCTCCATCTCAGAACTTTTATACCACTGGGACGTCGTTTTTTCCATCTAAACATATTAAGCAAGATCCAACATGAAATTAAAGGTGTGTGATGTTAACAATCTCGTTCTGTTCCCGCTTGTGCCTAAAAGCTGGCAGATTATACATCATGCATTCTTCTCTTGATGCCGCCATGTTAGATTTACAGTTAAAACTAGTTTCCAGTGTTTTTCGTCCGAAGAAACAAATCCCTCACGTAACACGAAAAGTTGCGCGGCTACACGCGTTTAGCGAGAAACGTAAAAAGAAGTTTCTAGAAATGAAATTTCATACTTCAATTGCGCATTGATCAAGAGAGAGGATACTCTTGGCACGCACTATACAGCTTATCCCAACCACCCGGGAAGCCCCCATAACTTGATTTCCGTTATCTCATTTTTTTGTTTTGTTTTTTTCCTTTTTTTGAAAGGAAGGAAGAACTTCTGATGGGGCAATTTAGAGATATTCAATAGAACGACCAGCTGTGAAAAAACCTCAGAGTATTATTCAATAAAAATATATCGATATCAAACGGGTAAATAAAGATTGAAAGAGGATGTAGGAAGACGAAGATTACGGATTACCTGTCACCGTGATTCATTTCAATCAGCTCTTCAGTTAAGCGTTAGGAAGAGGTTAGACACGTTACCTCCTTGAATGGATTTATTCATTAACAAATGGTTAACACCACAGCATGCACTACTGAGTTATGGATACACGCGTGAGGTTGCTAAGCACGAAAGAAGCGTAAGAGTCGCTCAAGGCGATAGCCGAGAGCGACTATAGCTTCTGGAGTGCTTAGCAAACCTCCCAAGTGCATCCATAACTCAATAGTGTACGCTGCGGTGTTGACCATTTTTTTTTTTTTTATAACAACAAAAAAAAAAATTCTTGCGACACATTTGCTTACTTGAAAACATTTGCTCACGTCAGCAGCGTACATCCATGGGCAAATAGTAGACTCTGAATTGACCAATCAGAGAGTGCGCTGTACGCTCTTTATGTTATAACGTATGTCGATTATTTCTGTCACGATCCTATTTGATATGGAGGGAGCAAGTGTCTACACTCCTGGACCGTCGAATTCGGTAGAGGTAACCTCATTTTGCTGAGGTTTTCTCCTTCGCGAGGCGATTACAGCTATTATCATAATCACGAGCTACATCTAGAACTCGAATTATTGTTTTATTTTCATCTGAGGGTAGCTTAGAGAACAGTCTCATTGCCTCTGCGAGCTGCCAGCCCCTCGTAGATGTCCTATCAGCAAGTATAGCGGGCCAGTTTGATTCTTGCAGACTGTGCGAGAAGCCTATGATCACGAGATGCTCTTTTAGCTACGCGGTGCGCTCTGACAAGAGTACTTTCCGATCCGGTAACCTCTCCGCTATATTACATACACTCCCATGTAATCAGCTGGGAACACTTTACAGGACAACGTCTATGTTTCACCCCTTTCCCCTTTCCAGTGTCGTTAATTGTCAATGTTTCTTTGAGATCTTGCAGACAAACACTTAGAGGGGCAATGGGAGTCAGCTGTAACTGTCCCAAAAAATGTGTTTGGAAGTCATTTGGTGCTGATTGGACACTCTTCTGGTGGGGTGTGGGTGGAGGTTTTAAGTGTTACTATACTCAACTAGTGTGCCTTACGGTCCGTCATGCGTCAACCTCCCATTAATTGTATTCCGTACTGTGGGCATCGCAGGCGGCAAGGTCAGTCACGCGAGAAACACGGCGAAAGCTCAGTGAACGCTGTTCTTAAGTCCGCTGTCACGCGAGAATATGTAGCCGACATAGGCCAAGCAACTTGGGTCACTTTTTTTTCATGTAAGATTCTAACATTTTGAAATGTCACTAAGATCTTAAGCGTAGAAATCGCTGGCAGTTAACTCACAACAGGAAAATTAGGAGAGATTGTAAAGAGGTTATGCATGACAAAGGTTTCTGATGATTTGATTTATTTACGCATGTGATTTTCTACTCTTCCTTTGATTCCAGTTTATTCTTGCCATACATCCACTGTTTTTTTTCTCGCTTATTGAATCGCAGTTATAACTCTTAATGTAAAAGTAAGAAATCATTAAAAATAAATTTCAATCATATCAAGTACACGACTATTTCAATGTGTTCATTTACGCATGTAAGCATTGCAGCTTTGCCTAATCTCCTTCGTAATAGTTCTTTGTCTCGAAGTTTCTAGCAATCACGGCATTCAAATATTTTTTTGTACCTCTGTCTCATTCTGTCAGGTTCAAGAAAACGGAGCCTTCTCGATTGCTATCCTCTCTCCTTTCTGAGTCTTCACTATAAGAACCCAAAGGAGGTTTCGGCCTGGTTGGCGAGACAAATATCTGCTGTTCATTTGGAACCGTTTCATTTCCTGGGTGAACTGAGATTTCAGCCCAACTACTTCTTATGTGGGAAATTTCAACTCAGTAATTGCGATGAACGTGACGCCACCTTTCAAGTTTACTCTTGGTAAACTGAGTTCAGCTCAGTTTCGCTTGAAACCTTTACAGATACGTTACAAGGACTTTGATCGCAAATATGAGATCTCGGTAGACTTTCCCCTCGTCTCAAATGAACACGTAACTTCTTTGCCAAGCAAAGGGTGGAAAGGAAAGATACTAGAAACCAGGCTAGACTGTTTGATTACCTCATATGAAAAGGTTTTATGTAAACTGCGGATCAGTTAATCGTGCACATGGCCACGGTAGGCGGCTAAGTAAATTATATCCTTATTGGCTGTACTTTCTTGAACGCGGGGGCGTTCATGTGCCTCATTTCCTCAGCACATGTAGTGAGTCACGCAAAAGCTCGTTACAGACATTCTGATTCTTCTCCAAGTGCTATGCTTTCCAAGTATTCGAACCTCCGTTCCATTTTTGTTAAATGTTTGTCCTTCTGTTTTAAACCTTTCTCGAGTAAAGTTGTTTTCTGCATCATGGAGTCCAACATCTGGGTCATTTCTTGAATAATATGCTCTCTCTTTAAACACTTCGCGCTCGGGTTGCCAAGGGGAAGTGTTCTAAAGTCCGAGATGGTATTTCCTCTTGGTTTACGGGCCTTTTGACCCAAAAAATTCGAGGAAAGCGAGTCTGTAGGAGCAATAGATTCTGATTTCTTGCGTTGCTGATCAATAGCAAACAAGGTTTCATCAGTTACATGGCTATTGTCATTGATTCTGTCTGTATCTTCACAGTCGGAAGTGTCTAGCACCATAGATTGTGAATTATCATTTGGCACGAACCCTTGTTCCTTTGGTTTTACCTCCTTTCCCGAATGAAGACTACCCATTTCGATCAAATTCTTCAGGAAAGACTCTTCTACATCTTTCTCACTAGTTACTCGACGGGCACTTGAAGATCGACGCACGCTCTTTTGAGAAGCAGTTTTAAGATGTCGTGTCGTTTCTGGTGACTTTAACAGCTGTTGGTAATTCTTAATCACACCATGCAAATATTTCACCATTTCTTTCTCCTCAATAAGATCCGACTCTAGTTCATTGTGCTTACCACGAAGCTTTTTGTTTTCAATTCTAAGACACTCCATGTGATTTTGATCCATTCGTAGATAATCGGCTAAACTGGTCAATTTCAGAGGACGCACGACATGTGAGATAACGACGAGCCGGATAGTTTGTTATGATTAGCCGTATCATGAGATGGCAAAAACTATGATTGCGTGTCTGGAATTCGATACTGTCACGGGATTCAATTCTTTTGTTAATACTATTGTAGTGTAATTAGCGTTAAATTTATATTGGCCTTGTCAGCATTTCTATTCTTTGACCATTTTTCATCAGTTGACCTATTTCGATTAGGCCATAGTTAGTGGTCCCCTCTACTAACTATGATTAGGCGTATAAATAATTTTCGTTACTCTTTGCTGTATCTTGTTTTTCTTCTTCGTTTAAGCATTAAGTATAACTGGCAAAGAGATTTTATTGATTTTTCACATGTACGCGATCTGATCATCATTGCATGATAAGGAAGCTATTCTTTCTTTGGGAAATCTGTTCATCGTAAATCTTATACTCAGGACATGCGCGGTAAGTGAGGTCTTTTAAGTCTACGTCGTTTCTTGAAGCTGCGACTAGTTTTTAAAATTGTTTATAACATTAGTATCCAGATCAGTTAAAGAATTATTTCAGCAATCGGAAAGTCTTCGTTTCATTATACTTCTGTGAAAGACTGCAATGATCTCCCAAAAGACTTAAGAAAATTCAGCTCCTTCTTTAGATTTAAAATAAGATTTTTAAGCATCTTTTTAGAATTAGACCCGAAAGAGCATAATTTTACTTCTCATTAATA